GGACCGCAACACTCAGTGTTGCGCCCGTACCGGACCGGGACCGGCTACGGGATCGCCACCCTCGGCATTGCCCCCGCTCCTCGCTCAGCCAGTGAGCGGCCGGTCTGTATGTGGGATCTGAACCCTAGGCGGGAGCACCACCGCGCTTCCCAAGCGGCGTGCTGTAGCAGTGCGCCACCGGGCCGGCCCAGGCAGTTTTAATATCCACAGTTGAATTCAATTAAAAAACAAAACAATAACCATGAATACAAGCACATGAGGGAACATTTTAAATGCTCAGGTATACTAGAATTTTCTTTTTTAACAGTGATTGAAATAAGTGGACCTCTGGCCGGGGTTTTGAAATAATTTTATCATAAAGAAACTGTCAATGTGTGATTTGACCTTTATTATTAAAAAGGCAGACAGTAGATAAGACATCTTAAGAGAGTGGCACGCTTTTGTACCTATTCTCTTGCCCAGACTAAAATCCATTTTGGCTTCCAAGAAAATGACAACAGACCAGCACTACTCTGGTTGTCTCAAATGTCATGTCTGACGTTTCCTCTTGCAAGGAGGTAAACTATAACTCACCTAACATTTGATAACAATCTGGGAAAAGTTTTGGAGCATTCACCATCTTCCCAAATAACATACTTCTTTAGCATACACAGGAAGATGAATTGAGAAGCTACCTGAACCCTAAGCCAAATGTAACTAGACGTGGTGTTACAATGAAGGCTATGGAGTTAGCCAGACCTCAGATTCCTGCTTTCTCACTTCTGTCTCAACCTATTGTCCCTGACCATGTAGTTTCCTCATCTCCAAAACAGAGATGATATGAATACTGTCACTTAAGGTTGTGTGAAGAATTAAATTGTTAACATAGCACCTGGCACACAGCAAGACTTTGGGGAGACACAGGTCAAAGGATACAAAGAAGCAGTTAAGCAGGATGAACAAATCTCAAGATCTAATGTACAACACAAGGACACATTTAATAATATTGTATTTAGGATTTTGCTAAGAGTATATGTTAGATGCTTTTGCCACAAAAAAGATGGGTAACTACGTGAGACAATGGATATGTTAATTTGCATGAATACAGTAACCATTTCACTATCTATATGTATATCAAAACACCATGTTGTACACCTTAATATATACAATCCAATTTTTAAAAAATGCACAGCTGGTGGAAAAAGAAAATCAAAATGGGGCTCCTTGGGTGGGCATAAGTGAAACCAAACCACCACTTGCACCAGCATTCCAGGTGTGCAAACCCCTCTGTAGCTCTTCTAAGCAAACAGCCCACTCCTGTGAACACTGATGTTGTCTTATTTCCAGCACACCCCTGAAGGCAAGGGGCTCCTGCTGTCTCACAGAGGAAGTCCTAGGTATGTGGAGGGAGAAGCCAGATACATGGCCTTTCAACACAAAGTGAGGAACCCAGGGGGTGGGGGTGGGGGTGGGGATGAGGAGAGGTGGAGATGGCAAAAGGTTCCAGTTGAAAAACATAGCCTTTTTCTTGTTTGAGGCCGGTACTACCTCCCCAGCTCACCAAAGCTCCTGTGCAGCTCACTTTCCACACCTGGAAAGTGTTGCCAAAAGCCAAGCAAAAACACAGACAAGAGCTACCCTGTGCCAAACATGTGCATAGGCCAGGCATGGCACCAGCACCTTTACATTTCATGCTCATAACCATAATTATCCCCATTCTACATACGGGGAGACTGAGGCTCTGAAGTGTCAAGTAACTCACTTAGGTCATACAGAGCATGAGTTGCAGAGGCTGGTTCGCTCTCGGGTCTGACACCAGAGCCCCGTGTTCTCTCTCCCCACCGTACTCTCTGCCTAGGCCACCAGTGTGTGAACAGCTCTATCTTACTGCACCTCCAAAACTCCCTTTGTTCTAAGCACACGGCCTGGCCCAGACGCAGCATCCAATAAACGTGTGCTAAACTGAATACAGGGCAGAGAAGCTTTCAGAAATGGATAAGTTTACACCTCTAGGAGATGTCCTTCCTCCACTGTGAAATGAGGACACTAGTTATTAGTAAACATATGAACATACCTAGTTTGCTCTGTGTTGCTGCATTTTTCTTGGTTTTTAGTTTCACCAGACCAAAATGAATAAATAAGCTTCCTCTCCTTCCCTTCCTCCCCCCCACACAGCAAAAGGGATGAAATGTACTTACGCTAGGCAATACCACCTCTTACAAACACTGGAGACTTTTAGCAAATCAGGGAGACATAAACAGGAAAAGATCCCCAGGAGTAGCTCATCTGGAAGGGAGTCCCATGAAACACCTTTGAGGAGAAAGAAAAATCTGTTTACTCATCGTCATTCTTTTTTCCATATCAAGTCTATTGAGTCTTTTCAAGCATGTAAGTGATACACGACATTTAGCTCAGAAGAGGAATTTAACACTAATTGAATTGCTCATCCTTACAATTATTTTTCTGTTCAGTCCACTGTCTACATAGCCTGAAGTGATGAGCACCACACTTTCTCAGCAAATGAGAAAAGAGAAAACCAAGGATACTTTTCACATCATTCTTCAGCTTCAGTCTTCAAGCACAAACACAGACAAGGGTTTTTTTAGCTGCAGCCAGCTAATCGTAGGCAAGGGTGTGATATTAACAGTGGAACAGAGCAAGTCCCCACCCTCTCGAGTGTCTCCAATGATGTCTAAAATATTGTGATGCTTTTGGTCACTAAGGAAGGTCATTTCTCTCTGTTGTGAACTCAGTGGTGACCCTACTTAAAAGGCAGACAGAGCTTCCTCCCCCTTCTTTCAGGTTTATAGAAAGGACACTGAAGTCAATTAACTAAAACAGCAACATCAACATCAAAAGGGTGCTCTTGTTTCTTAATTCAACAGATATTACTGCATCCCTACTATGGTGCCAGGTATCATTTTAGGTGGTGGAGAAAAGAGCAGTATATGAGACAGATAAAATACTTTACCTTCATGAAACTTACATTATAGTGAGGGGGAGCCGACAATCACACATAAAAAAACCAAGTAAATTATGTGATATGTTAAAATTGATTAGTGCTATGAAAACTAAGCAGGGTAAAGGAAAGAATGGAGAGTTTATGGATGGGTGTTATGAGTCTGAACACAGTAGTCAGGGAAGACCTTACTGAAATGGTGATCACTGAGCAAAGGCTTGAACAAAGTGAGGGAGTGAGCCCTGGAGTGTGTTCTAGGCACAGGGAACAGCATGTCTGTTCTGAGGAACAGCAAGGAGGCCAGAGTAGAAGAGCAGAGGGAGCAAGGGGGATGGTAGAAGACGAAATCAGAGAGGTGAGGGACCTGTTTTCCACATCATGATAAGGCCTTTGGCTTTGACTCTGAATTTGATGAGAAGCCACTAGAGGAACAGCATAGGAATGACAGAATCTCACAAGTTTTAAAAGGATCACTCTGGGGCCCAGCCCGTGGCGCACTCGGGAGAGTGCAGTGCGGCCGGTCTCAAAAAGGACAAAAAAAAAAAAGGATCACTCTGGCTCCTGTGCTCAGAATAGACTGGAGTGGGAGAAAGATGGATGCAGGAAGACCAACTTTCTCTGTCTTACAAAAGCTTTCTCTAAATAGCTATTCAACAAGTATCAAACTCTTACATATGTGCTAAGGGCCAAATGTGTCCCCCAAAAGTTCATGTATTGGAAACTTGATCTCCATTGTGACAGCATTAAGAGGGTGGGAAATCCAATTATGGTATTTGAAAGGTGGGGCCTTGAAGAGATGATTGGATTGCGAGGACTGTGCCCTTGTGAATAAATGGATCCATTCATGAAGTAATGGGTTATCACAGGTGTGGTTCTGATGACTTTATAAGGACAGCCGGTGAGAAGGTTGGCTCTCTTCCTCAGCCCATTTCTTTCACCATATGACACCCTGAGTTGCGTTAGAGTCACCATCCAGAAGAAGGCCTTCATCAGATGTGTTCCCTAGACTTAGACTTCCCAGCCTCCAAAAACTGTAAGAAATAAACCTTATTTTCTTTATATATTACCTAGTTTCAGATATTCTGTTATAAGCAACAGAAACGGACTAATACAGTATGAAGGTAGATAATGAGCCCATAAGATCAGGATGATATGACAGTGGCCAAGAAGGAAATGAGCACACGTCAAAGAAATAACAAAAGGGAGGGAGGAATCAGTAAAGGGACATGAAAATCAACTACATTGTATACTGATTGAAAGAAAAAGAAAAAGAAATAACGACAGAGTGGTTAGTGAGTTCAGTAACTGCCTTTCCCATCTTTCTACCTCTAATCGACCTTCCACACCAATTCTGGTGACATCCTCTCTCCCAACTCCCATTTAAAAGGTACCAGTATTTACTGAACACGGACATCATACCAGGCACCATGTAAGTGGGTTTCAGGACAAAATTAGGAAGGCCACTGGGGAGGGTGACAAATTCCACAGCTACTGCCTCTAAGCAGTATCCCAGGCAGCCTGAAACAATCATGCCATTCCCTCAATTAGAACCCCACAAATACTTAGCCTAAAGGCCACGCTGCTTAGCATGAAATTCAAAGCTTTCATGCCAGAGTCCAACTCATCTTTCCAGGCTTGTTATCTAGAAATATGTTCCAGCCATTTGGAGCTTGCTATAATTCTTAGAATGAGCCATTCTGTGTCACATCTCAATGCCTCTGTACAAGCTGTGCCCTCCCTTGACTGCTGTTCATTTAAAATCAAATTGCTATTAAAGCCCTAACTCCTACGGAAGGCCTCCCACGATACCATCAAGAACAGGTCACTTACGTGCCATAATTTCATTGTTTACTTACTCATCTGTCTAGGACTCCACAGGCCACAAGTTCTTGAGAACAGAAACCTGATTTTTTTTTTTTTTTATAATCTTTGTATTTCCAGGAACTCTGTCTAGGACTCCACAGGCCACAAGTTCTTGAGAACAGAAACCTGATTTTTTTTTTTTTTTTTTTATAATCTTTGTATTTCCAGGAACTAGCACAAAGTCTGACACATTCATCCATTCACGTATTTATTGACCATATACTACATGCTAAGGTCTGTTTTAGGTTCTAGGGATACAAAGATAAAGCACGATAATGACCTTTATTGTGTTCAGAGTTTGAGAGACAGACAAATAAACAGGAAACTCCAATAAAGTATCATGATGGGCTACAACAGGGCTTTAGGGTGCTTGCTGTGCAACCTATGGGAGTAGAGCAGTGGTCAGGGAAGCCTTCCCGAAGTGACCTCTTCTCAAGAATGAGTAGGGGATATGCAGTCGCTCAATTAATGACACAATTAAAGGACTGACTGAGGCCCTGAGAGCTCAGGGTAGCAGGGTGAAGACAGACCAACCCTGCTCACCCTGGGAGGCAGCTGGACGTTCCTCAGTGTGGCAGCCATTCTGTCACTGCCACAAAGCTCCTCCAAAGTCAATATGGGCAGAGGACAGAGGTTCTCAAACCAGGCTCCTGCCCTGCTCTCCAAAATGGAAAAAAAGTTAAAAGTTGGACACTTTTCAATATTTTCTCCCATTAATTCTACTTAACTCTCTGACCTCTGCTGCCTCTTGCATATGTAGATCAGATTCTAGTATATGATTTGGCAAAAATTATATACATAGTTATCTCGAATCTAATATGTTGAGATTTTACTGTGATCTGCAAAGACCATCCTGATGCCAGATGCATGACCTCCCTCCCCCAACAAGAACTACTGGACTGAGGAACAAGCACAGCTTTGATAGGAATCCCGGCTATGTTGCCTCCAAGTCTGTGAACTCAGGCAAGTTACTTAATCTCTCTGGGCCTGTTTCTTCATCTGCTGGAATGGAAATGAAAAGATTTATCTTGCAAAGATGTTTAGCGTTAAGATTAAACGATGTATGAGAAAAGATTAAATAATGCAGCAGAGCATCAAAGTTTCTCTTTCTTGCCTCTATTCCTCTCCTTTCCCCATCAAATCCGCATTTTCTTTTCAATGCTACTCTGAATTTTCACTTACAGGCAAACATCCAAGGTCTGAATAGGGTTTGCACAAGGGATGCATGCTGTGATTTATCAAAATTCCATATCCACTCTCTATCTAAGTTTGGGATCTCCAGGAGCAGATCCTGAGCATGTGACTTCAGATCAGATTATTTGGGAAGTGATGCGAGGAAGCACTGGAAAGAGTGGAAAAGAGGGACACAGAAGGGAAGGAAACCAACTTGGAGTAGTTAATAAGCAGTTTACCGCCATGAGTAACTGGGGTTCAAATCTGGGGACTCCAGAAGATCATCTAGAATCCATCCTAGAGCTGTTCCACCCGAGGGCATGAGTGCTGGGGTATTAATTTGTTAACTGTGAGCTCAAAGTTAACTCCCCAGCATTCCTGCCCAAAGAAAGCCCCAAAGCACAGGGTCACAACTACATGCAGGCAAAAGCCTTTGGCATGTCAAGGAATGGTGAACTTCAAGGGCTGAGGACAGGATACTGACAACATCCACTAAAGATTCTTGGAGAAAGGAAATTAGGAAAGCTTGCTGAGAAGTGCAGGGCAGGAGAAATAAATTAATGAATTTGGTGCTTCCTTCTTTATTGGGAAGACATAAGAAATCAGGAACAATTGGAAGAGCAATAGGAGATAGGTAATTAAAGTGCTAGGAGGAAGATTTGGTATAACGATGAATGCAGAGGCCAGCAAGCCCAGGCAAAGAAGCTGTGCATGTAAGAGAGCAGTCCAGGGTCAGGAGGGCTTTGGTGCTAGGAGGAAGATTTGGTATAACGATGAATGCAGAGGCCAGCAAGCCCAGGCAAAGAAGTTGTGCATGTAAGAGAGCAGTCCAGGGTCAGGAGGGCTTTATGCTGCAGCTTCTATCATCACCTCCCCAATTCCTACTTGTCCTCCAGATTTTGGCTAAAATAGCACTTGCTCAGAGAAGTACTTCCACCCAGGTCACCACCACAGCCCCATGCCCAGATGTGCACATCCAGCACCTTACAGAATGCCTGGCACATAACAGGCATTTGACAAATATTTGCTAAATGTATTACACCTTTTACTCCTCCTTCATGCAAACAGTAAATGTGCTAATTCTGTATTAGCGCAACTGGTTAACCTTCATTAACCAATTAACTATGACATAACCACTGCCTAGGACAGAGCCTAGCACTGAATATTAGAAAGTACTCAACCAATATTTCACAAAGGAATGACTGACAACCCAAAGAATAATGTGGCTTTATTTTATATACAGGCAAGACTGTTGGCCTCTTAGGACAGTTCCCTCATTTGTAAAATGACAAGGCTCACCTATGACTCCACTCGC